TATATATATATATATATATATATATATATGTTATTGAATAATAACCTTGATTGTCCTTTGTTTTAGAAATCTTGTAAAAGACTATGATTACGTATTTGCAATCTGCAACCTGTTGGGGGCGTCTATTGGAACCACGGTAACGCTGGCTTGCAGCATTGAATTTTCCATGTTTAAGGTAAGGATTACTTTTTTTTCTATTCTAATACCGTGGTAGTTATCCTTTTGAATTGTATGCTTTATGTCCGATAGTGGCCTGTAAATCCCCGTTTCGCAACCTTTTTAGCCTGCAGCCCAAATTAAATGTCAAGCACTCAGATGCGACCCATCGCACCCGGACCCGAATGCCAAATTGTATGGTAAACTGATTCAATATGGTAATATTTTTTTGAGTTTGAGTGATGATTAAGTCAATAAGTTACGTCCGTTGTTTTATACGTGTGATTAAAGATATCACCCAGAAAATAAATTTAGGCCTAAATACCATACAAAAATATGAAATTAACATAACTGTGAATTACTCTAATAACAGAACCACAAAAAATATCAAATCTTTCAATAAATTACATATAGAAAAATAATCAATGATTTACAGACGTTTTACTAGGCCTACAAACATTTTTATTTGCTGGCACAAATATATGGGTTATTGGAAGACTAGTACTTTCAAGTCGTCATACCTGAAGTACAAATGTTTTATAGTAAGTTAGGCCTATTGAAAATTAATCTATTGATATAAAACGCACGCATTAAACATGTACATTTCTTTACTGTAATTTTGATTTTGTTTGTCTTTGTATTCAGTAAAAGTTTTAAAGAGAAATGTGACCTATCAACAATTTTCCGCTGCCCAACCATTATGTTGCGACCCATAGGTTGCGGAACGGTGATGTAAATAAAGGACACAAATTGGGTTAGATGTTATAAAACAATTGATAAAAAATCCAGTATATAAAAAGGATATTATATACTTAAATGAATTTCGTTGTTGCTTACATCCCTCAGAATAATAAACAAAAAATGAGTATGGTGATAATGATAGTTGTGTTGAAAAATTAAGTAAATTTGTCCAAATGCTATGATTTGTTCTTTTCATGGCTTGGCCAACAGATTCCATGTACAATCAGTGGAATCTTCATGCACTTTTTCTACACTGCGACATTAGCATGGTTAGCCACTGAGGGTGTGCATTACTACCTCAAGATTAAAGGAAAAACTATTGAGGAAGGCTATACAAATAAACGATATTACAGCGCATTCGGGTGGGCTCTTCCCGCCGCACTTGTAGGTATATTTGTTGGTGTACACAGGGGATACGGCAAACATGACAGGTAAGGCATTAATCTTATAATTATGCTGATTATAGTTCGTTTAATTTTTACCGCATTTTGGTGTTTATAATCATTTTATCCATAATGCATTAAAAACATAAGGCATGTATGTCTTTTGCCTAGTATAATAGCCTACACACTTTATTATATGTGTATATTAACGCTAGAGTACAACTTCCTAAAAGCATTGTGAATACAGTGCGATCTCAATATAAAAGTACCAATACATTTCCGATACTTATACTAATAGCTACACTGTAGGCCTACATCACATAAGCCTACATACTAGCAACAATACAAAACTAATAGGTCCCCTTTGTTGGGTATTTGAACGGGTAATAAAATACACATTTTTAAATATTTAAAACTGGTGGTGTAAAGGGTCATCCAGGATTTTTTTTAAAGTATCTTAGAAAAATTAGTTGTACAGTATACGAAGAAAAATGTTTTTTTTAAACAGTCTGGCTTTAATTTACTCTTCGTTCATGGATTTGTTTGTATGTTTCAGGTGTTTGTTAACTTCGTATTCTGGTATCTTGTCAGCCTTTATATTTTCAGCTGTTCTATTTTTATCAGTAAGTAAAGAAGAGATAAATTACACAGATGTATTTATTTTGTTGGAATATACATGAAAATAGCAACTAAATATATAATTTTAAATAGTGTTACAAATTGACTAAAATCTAGTTTGCAGTAATTCTCCAAAACATATGTATACATGAAAGGTTAACTGATTAATTTCGATACTTGCAGTATGTATTATACTATCTTATATGTATACATACATATAGTAAATCGAATAAAGTAAAGAAAAAGTAAATACAGCGTTCGAAAAAGGACATGATAGTACATCGTGTAGCATAGCTCTCAACGAATGTTGTCCTGTATATATATACTGTCTCTTATACACATCTAGATGTGTATAAGAGACAGGTTTTCATGTGTATCTGTGGGGTCGCTATTGGCTGGCAGGCGACTTGTAGGTCTACTGTAGCATTCACCAATCCCAACCGGCTTCAAGGGCTTCGCGTCATCAACGCCTGGCTGATCATAATATTGCGCAGCAACTTGAGTTGAGCGACACTTGCTCTCTGGCCTAGGGATGGTTTGTGTAATAGCCCAACTCGTAGCAGCGTCTATTTCAACAGCGTCTTTATTTAACCAGGGCAGCAGTGGACATTCAATAACTTACGACAATTCGATTTAAATTAAACATTTTACATAGACTTAAATTAATTGTGTCAACATAAATCTATTATGAAATATATTTTTTCTTTAAAAGTAAGTAAAATTTAGCTCATGAAGTTTCTTTCAAAATTAAGAAATATAACAATAGGAATACTTAAATAGACAGTTCATTGTTGGTAATCGCCAAAATATTTTATTAGAGAGTTCGTAACCTTTGTGTTTTAAAAAATATTATTGGCGTGCCTTATTCTTCACATAGCCATACAGGCCCATCTTAAACCCTGTCTCTTATACACATCTAGATGTGTATAAGAGACAGCTATAGGCCTATATATCAACTTGATA